TTTTCGGCCGGGGGGAAAAAAAATTGGGGGGAAAAGAAACCCCTCCCGGGGGCGGAAAAAATTTTTTTTTTGGTTTATCGGGGGGGGGGGATTTTGGGAAGGGGGGGGATTTTTTGGGAAGGGGGGGAAAACCAATTTGGGGGGTACAAACCCCCGGTTTGGAGGGTTTTTTTTTCGGAGTGAAAAAAAGGGGGGAAAATAAATTGGGTTTGTTTTTAAAAAAATTTGGGGCCCCCCACGGGAAGGCAAAAAAGGCCCCCGGGGGGGGGTTTTTCCCGTAAAAAATGTTTTTTTTTGGGCCCGGGGGGCAAGGAAACTTTTTTAGGGTGGGAAGCCCCCCCCCCCCCTCCCCCCAAAACCGGGGCCCCCCCCCCCCCCCCCCCCCCCAAAGGCCCGCCAGGGCTAAAACGCCCCAGAAATCAAAGAGTAAGACCCCACGCAAGAAGAAAGCTGCTAGCGGGGGCAAGACCGGGACTTCGAAACGCCGTAAGGGTAACTCGGACGGGGTCGGCGAGGGAGGGTCGGGTGAAGCGGGGTCCGGGATCAGCGACGACGATTCCGACGACGACGAGCCTCCGGCGGCGGCGGCCGCGCGGAAGGCGGCGAGGGGGAAGCAGCAGCAGCAGCGTCGGGTCAACGCCGCCGTGGAGGTGTGTGTGTGTTTCGCGCAGGACCCGATAGTGACGGGGGGATTGTTGTTGCGTTGTACTGTGTTGAAGTGAAGGAAGGGAGTGGATTGTTGGAGGTCACACAGGGCTGGTGGATGCGCACGTCGGGGGGGTATGTTGGTGTATGCGACAAGTCTGCTGTGACGATGTAGGTGCGTTGGCTTGGCCGAAACACGCCCGTGTATTTGCCCCGAGTCAGTCCGGATCCCGGCTGCTGACAGCCTCAACCCTGCTCTTCCTCTGGTTCTTGTAGCAGTGCGGTATTATACCGTGTCCCATTTCCAACCGCGACGCATTCTCGCAGGAACTTGTGTGATTTGTGCAAGAAATGGCAGTAGCGAGCAAGCTCTCGCGCTGACCCTCGCGCATCTTCGTCGGAATCCTCACGGAGCTGGCGTTGTCTACAAGCAACAGAACGATATTCCCCCGGGATGAATGCATGCATGAGTGGCGAATTTGCGGAGCCCCCCCCCACCCCTCGGTGTTTGCCATCGGGATTGGGTTTTCGTCGCTTGGCAACGACGTTGTAAAACACGCCAATTCACTTCGTGAACTCGGCATCCAGGTTACCGTTTTTTTTTTTCCTCTGTTTTTTTTTTGGCGGCAACCATAATGGTGGTCTAGTAGATCATGTTGTGCGGGGTGGAGAACCCTCGCTCCGCGCAAGGGGGATGATCGCACCACGTTGTGTTAAAATGGTCAAGCATCCTCGAGGCAGTTACACAGTGCTTACAACTGTCTCTGGAAGTGAAAGCACCAGAAAATAAATTAAGTCATACGCAGCTGTCATCCGTACGCAAGGAAGTAAGCACAAGATGCCGAACACCCTTAGCAGGATGCAGCTCACCCTTCATGCGACTCGCCGAATACCTCACGGCGCTTCGCGCTTGGTGATGTGAGAGCCTGGTCCGGTGAGAACCCGGCGTGCTCCGTCCCGGCTTTGTAGGGATGCGAGGTCAATGGTCTAACGACTACGGCATGCACGACTATGAGTACCGCCCCCCCCCCCCCGCGTGGGCCGCTTTGTACACTGCATATTCCTTTTTCTGACCTCCCTATTCAGGAGGATGAAGAGGACTCTGCATCGGACGGGGATTCGGAAGACGACCCCGGGGACGGCTACGGCTCGGACCTCCTGGGTGAGGGCGAGGACCGCGAGGCGATGATAGCCCTGCCGGAGGTGGAACGCGAGCGCATCGTGTTCGAGCGGTTCCAGAAGCGGCAGCAGGACAAGGAGAAGGTGGCGCTGTGGAAGCGCCTGCAGAAGAACAAGGCGCGGACCGGCGGCGGCGGTGTGAGCGGGGAGGTCTCCGCCGCGGCGGTCCAGAAGAGGAAGGAGGCGCAGGCGGCCAGGGCGGCGACAGCGGCGGCGAGGGCGGCGGCCCTCGAGAACGACGACAGCAGCAGCAGCAGCGGCAGCGGCCAGTCCGACGAGTCCGGCGACGAAGAAGGGGCCGTTGTTAGAGAGGAGGGCAGAGGTGGCGGCGGGGTGGAGAAGGACGAGGACTCGGATGAGGACTCGGACGAGCCGCCGCAACAGCGACGACCGCCGCCGGCGGCGGCGGGGGCCGCGGTGTCGTCCGCAGCGGCGGAGGAAGACGAAGAGAACAGCGACGACGACGATGATATGGGACAGCAACAGCAGCCGCAGGAGCAGCAGAGGCGGGAGGATAGCGATGACGGCGGCGGCGGCGGCGGCGGCGGCCGCGACGAGGATGACGAGGACGATGATGACGATGACGCCGCTCCTGTGCGCGGGGGGGCGGCCAAGGGGCGAGGGAAGAAGCGGTCGGCGGTTAACGAGGAGAGCGAAGACAGCGACGACGATGATGACGACGGCGTTCAGCAACGGCGTCGGCCTGCGGGAGACGACGACGACGACGACGACGACGACGACGACTACAACCAGGATGACAATGGCCGCAAGGCCAGAAGATCGAGGGATGACCGTGAGCGGGGCGGCGGCGGCGGCGGCGGCGGCCGTAGAGACCGCGACGGCCGGCGGGGCCGCAGCCGCAGGTCCCGCTCCCGCGACGACGACGACTCCGACGACGACTCCGACGACGACTCCGACGACTCCTACCACAGCCGCCGACGGCAGGGCGCAAGGGACCGCTCCGGCGGCGGTGGCGGCGGCAGCAGCAGGAGAAGGAGGTCGAGCCGGTCCCGCAGCCGGAGCAGAGACAGGGATTACCGCGGAGGCGGCAGCCGTCGCTCACGGTCTAGGTCTCAGGAAGGGGAGCGGGGGCGCGGCAGCAGCAGCAAGCCCAGAGAGTCGAAGCCCGAGCCGGAGCCGGAGCCGGTGTTGGAGGACATCAACCGGTGTCGGGTGCCGAGGGACTACCTGGAGCGCTGGGCGAACGAGCCGTACTTCGAGAAGGCCGTGCAGGGGTGCTTTGTGAGGGTGGCGAGGGGGGTGGGCAGGAGCGGCGAGCGGGTTTACGTGATGGCGGAGATCGTCGGGGTGGGGCCCTACAAGCGGAAGTACAAGATCGTGAGCCCCCCCCCCCCCCCTTCTTTTGTTTTTTTTCGAAAGGATTTTGGAGTTTTCTCTCTCACTTCTTACTCCGCCGTGGCGGGGCTCTTGTACGTCTGGTATGTTTGTGCTTCTTTCGGTGGCATCGACCGGGCTAATACGCAAGTCTTGTAGCGGGATAAGAAACGCGAACACTTTCGTGTGTGTGTGTCTTGATTGTTGGCATCGACGACGCTAACTGCCTAACCAATTGAGAAGCCGTCAGTCTCAGTGCGGTTGACAACAGGAAATATTTCTAAATGCTCTGATGCGTGTGCGTGTGCGTATTCCGTGTGATGGACAAGACCGTTGTTGCTCGTTCATCGCAACTCTTCTCGTGCGGTTGGTAACTCCGGCTGGAGGGTTCGGTTATCTCTCGGCAGTCGACCTTTCGCTCGACCACGTCTAAGAGCTTGCAGGATCCCAGGACCCCAATTGTGCGGAATGCACCCACTTGGTTTTTTTTTTCGGACCACCTACGCAGGATTTTAATAGTATCTATTATAGAAATAGAATAGGGAGGGGGCACGCAGACCGTATCCCTAACCCTAACCCTAAAGTACGGATTGAATAATTTTATCCCATATGTTTGCTTTATCAATTTAGCTGCTTAGACTACTGCTTTTTACCGTAGTTCTGGATCTCTGTCTTGCCCGCTGGAAACTCTCGTCTCTTGAGTGTATGCTGTGCTCCAGCAACAAACAAAAACTAACGGGCACGAGGAATCGAAGCATCGAGTACACGCGTCATTCCCCCATCCCGTTACCGTAAACACTGCAAGGAAACCTCGCATACACACACTGAGAGCGTTCGCGTTTTTCATCCCGCTGCCAAAGACTGACGTCTTTTCATCGGTCAGCCGGTTAGTTAGCGCAAGTCGATGCTAGTAACCAAAAAAACAAACAAATACCTGTGTGTGCGTGTGTGCGTGTTTTTATGTGCGCAAGAAACGAACCAACATGGCTCTACCGAAACGCTCGCTTCTCGTCATAATAATAAAAAATATCATCATCATCAGGGCAATTCCTACACCCAGAAGTGCCTCAAGATCTCGGCCAGCAGCTCGCAAGTGAGGGACCAGTGCATGGATATCGTGTCCAACTCCCGCATCTCGGAGGGGGAGTACACGCGTTGGAAGGACGGCCGGAAGGGGGCGAAGGTGCCGACCCTCACGGTCTCAGAGTGCAACGCTCGCCGCGTGCGCATGAACAAGATCGTTCAGGGCCACAGGGTGAGGGCGTGGTGGCCATGTTTTGGGGTGCCAGAAGGGCGTGTTAGGGCTCTGCTGTGGCCGGGGGGGGCTGTCGCCGTCGTTCCCGTTTTGTTTTTGTTGTCGCTTACGGAAGCACAGCAGGTTCTTCTTTCCCATTTATTCGTGAGAGTCCCAACTCTTTTGGTCTCCCTTCCCGGGGGCTGTAGTCGGCACAGCGGTAGAGGGGGAATGGTCTGTCAACTGTCTTTTTATCCCCTGGTTGGGCTGCTGTGCTCGCGCTCTGAATGTCTTGCGTCCTGCTGGACTCGTGTTTCAGTTTCATTTTGATTGCCCAATTTCCTCTCTGCAGCATTGGCTTGTCCCTCTAAGGACAACATCGACACTTTCTGCGACGATTCGATAGCGTCCTTGCTTATGTAGTTCCTCCCTGCAGAATTCACTGTCCGTCTATGGCTATGTACAACATCCACCAACTCGTTTTCACATGCTTGGTATCCGTTCCGTTCTCTGTCTGCGTGCAGTACTCTGCCGAGGAGGTGTCGGCCATGGTGAAGCAGCGGCAGAGCGAGGGAGTGGCGTTCACGAACGTGGCGCTGTCCCGCATGAAGCTGGACAATTCTCTCGAGGCCGCGGTGGCGGAGGGCAGGGAGGACGAGGCGGACTTTTGCAGGGAGCAGCTCGCCAAGGTGCGAGAGAGAAGCAGTTGTTAACGTCTTGCGTTGCACGTTTGTTTGTCCCGCCCGGTCTACGTGCGTGGTCGGGCTTAGTGTGTCTGGTCGGTGTTTTTTGACGTGGTGGATTTGCGAGACATATGTCTGTTTGTTTCGACGTGCGTGACCGTGGTTTGGGTTCGTCGGGTCGGTGTTTGCCGATTCTAGTTTTTTGCAAGGTTTTGGGCCGAAAGTGCGTTTACACGGAGAGGTGCGGCGTTGATGGAGCAGAGCGTCTGGTTGTGGTGTTCGAGGCGATGCTTCGTCGCTTGCGGCTGCTGCTACTGCTGTACTGTGTCCTGTATTGACGAGCCGCTTAAGCCTTGCCCGCTCTTGCCATGCCTCACCCACGTGTACATGTGTCCCTTTTTTTGTATGTCTCGGAGGGTCCCTTCCCCATCTTCCGAGCGGGCCACCGAATCTTGTTTACCCGTAAAATATCCGTGGTAGCTCGCCGTGTGTATACTACAACAGAGTGCGTCCGTAAGGGCCGCTTCACCGTGTGTCCTCTGTTCTCTGTTGGAAGTAACCGACCAGGCGGAGAAGAGCCTCAATTCACGACCAAACCAGCTTTAGTAATTGAACCATCCCTTGTATTTTCAAGGTGGCGTTGCTGTTGATGATGCTGTTGTTAATATCCACACGTGAGAATTAAGATGCCGTTCATCAAGTACTTGTATGTAATTCTGCATACACAACGCTGATGATTTATTTTCCCGTGTCTTTGCCCCAACACGGCTTTCGTTTTTGTATGTAACTGCTGTGGCCTGAATCAATCCACACATGAGGATTGAGATGCTGTATTTCCCGCATATTATTTCTGCACACCCAACACTGATGATTTAGTTCTCTTTGTTTTGTCACTCACCCTGCTCTCTCGTTTTTGTATACAACCTGCGGCATGAATCATTCCACATGTGAAAATTGAAATGTAGTTCATCATGCATGTACATACAGTACGCACACACAACGCTGATTATATTCCCCTTGGTTTTGTAACTGCCTGCCCGCCGCCGTTGGTACATGCACACGCACAATGCTGATTTTGTTCCGCTTGGTTTTGTAACTGCCTTCCCGCCGCCGTTGGTACATACGCACACGCACAATGCTGATTTTGGTCCCCCCCCCAATCGGTTGTAACCCTCTGGCTGCCTGTCGCAGTTGGACGAGCGTGAGGCCCAGAAGAAGAAGAGCCTGGACTCGGGAGCGGCCGGGATGCGTGCCCTGAACGAGCGCAACAAGACTTTCAACGTCCACACCGACACTCACGTCGGCCGCAAGAAGCGCTTGGCGGAAGCCAAGGCCAGGTGATTTTTTTTCTTCTTTTTTTGGTTGCTGCTTACTCTCTGCTTAATTCAGAGCCAAGGCGGCGGGGTGATTCTTGCTTGTTTTGTATTTTCGAAGTTTGCTGCTTGCTCTGGTCTAATAAGCCGAGGCCGGTGGTCTTTGCTTGTTTGTGTTGCCATGGTTGCTGCTTGCTCTCTCATAAGTCAAGGCCGGGTGGTTGATGGTTGCTGCTTACTCTCCACGCGTGGTATTTTTGGTGCTTTGTTCCATGCCAGTCTCTTGCTCTCAATGGTGGTGTGGGGTGCTTTTGGTTTTGTTCATACTAGCCTTTTGCTGTGTGTTTTCGTTCATTCGCTAATTAGCGAAGGTTGACATGCTTCGTTATTTGCGTGTGGCCATCATTACTTCTTCTCGCACAACGTGGTGTTGTGCCTGGCTCCTTTTCTCGACCGGCCGTCGTGTTCCGCGGGGCAGTTGTAGGCCGGGGAAAGGCGGCAACCCGGAAATTCAGTCGTCCTCGCGTTGAGGACACTCGTCTCGAGTCAGCTCCCCGCTCAAGACAAAAAAACATCTCAGAAGCAGGGCGCCCTACAGATTTTCCACAATGTGTACCGGTCGTAAAGACGCGTAAATATCTAAAAAGCATGGGTGTCGTTAAAGCGGGGTCGACTACTGTATACTTGTGGTAGCACACGGAAACGTGTTAAGAGCGGCGACCTCTGTCCCATCTCGGGAGCAATACTTGCCTTGACAACTCGTGAAAGAGTGTAGGTCTTTTTTTTTTTGGGGGTACAGTCGTGGCTCCGATATAAGAGGGTGTTGTGACAAAGGTCCCCGACCCTCTTATATCGGAGCCCCCTCGTATACCGGAATAAGAGAGCACTCAACTATGCTATGAGAGGGTCGAGTTCGTGACAACCGATTTCGACCCTCTTTTATCTTATATCAGAACCCCCTCTTATAAGGTACCCTCTTATTATATCGGAGCCCCCTCTTATACCGGAATAAGAGAGTACTCAACTATGCTATGAGAGGGTCGAGTTCGTGACAACCGATTTCGACCCTCTTTTATCTTATATCGGAACCCCCTCTTATAAGGTACCCTCTTATTATATCGGAGCCCCCTCTTATACCGGAATAAGAGAGTACTCAACTATGCTATGAGAGGGTCGAGTTCGTGACAACCGATTTCGACCCTCTTTTATCTTACATCGGAACCCCCTCTTATAAGGTACCCTCTTATATCGGAGCCCCCTCGTATACCGGAATAAGAGGGTACTCAACTATGCTATCGAGGGTCGAGTTCGTGACAACCGATTTCGACCCTCTTTTATCTTACATCGGAACCCCCTCTTATAAGGTACCCTCTTATATCGGAGCCCCCTCTTATACCGGAATAAGAGAGTACTCAACTATGCTATCGAGGGTCGAGTTCATGACAACCGGTTTCGACCCTCTTTTATCTTATATCGGAACCCCCTCTTATAAGGTACCCTCTTATATGGGGGCCCCCTCTCATACGGGAATAATGGGGTACTCAATTAGGCTATGGAGGGTGGAGTTCAGGACAACCGATTTCGACCTTCTTTTATCTTACATCGGAACCCCCTCTTAAAAAGGTATGTACTTCCCTCTTATATCGGAACCCCCTCTTATAAGGTACCCTCTTATATCGGAGCCCCCTCTTATACCGGAATAAGAGGGTACTCAACTATGCTATGAGAGGGTCGAGTTCGTGACAACCGATTTCGACCCTCTTTTATCTTACATCGGAACCCCCTCTTATAAGGTACCCTCTTATATCGGAGCCCCCTCGTATACCGGAATAAGAGGGTACTCAACTATGCTATCGAGGGTCGAGTTCGTGACAACCGATTTAGACCCTCTTTTATCTTACATCGGAACCCCCTCTTAAAAAGGTATGTACTTCCCTCTTATGATCGAAGCCACGACTGTAGATCAGTAGGTTGTAGGTTGTAGCAATCTCCTTCTCCGTTCTCCCTTGCTTGATCATTACTTTTTGTCGGAAACGAAAAGCGACTCCCTGCTGTCGTGTTCACCAAAACTGGCCTGGTGTGCGCCTGCTGTCCCACTGGATGGACCGAATTCTAGCATACTTTCAGCAACGTTGTTGCAAATGGATCCCAAGTTCATGGCCGCCTTCAACAGACGGAGGAAACGCAACCAACCAACCAACCCAACCAACCAACCCGCATACAGTAGCTAGCGGCTATGGTCTAAATAAAATACATGTGTTTTTTTTTGTGAGAGAAATTCGGATTTTAGAAGATGTTCGGCCTTGTCCCGACCATGAGAAATACACGGTACATTACACTGTACGGTTAGAGAGAAAACCGGATGTACGGGAGTTTCGTTCATGTGCCCCATCCGTCTCTTGACACTACCGCCTCGATTTTTTTTCATTTTTTTTTATTGTTTGGACGCGCTCCCTCCTCCGCGTGTGAGTGCAGGGAGGCGTCGGCAGCCGGGGACGAGGGCGACTTCGACCCTTTCAAGCGACGCTCCTGCCGCCCCAAGATACTCTGGTCCGTGGGCCAGCACAGCCCCACCCGGCCGCCGCCGCCCCG